CTGAGGTTTTAAACTAAATTTCTATATTTTTTGCCAAAGATTAACCGCTTTTACGACATTTTAAATGGAAAATGAAAACAGAAATTTTTGAAAATTAGCGATTTTTTAAAAATTCCCCAAAATAAACCTGATATTTAACAAAAACTCAAATTGGAAAAGAGGGTTTTAAAATTTGGATTAACCGAAACATTATATACAAATTAGAGGTCGGCAAAATCGTATTTGCAGGATTCCGCATGCGGGAGTAACTCCCGCGGGAATAATCCTGCAAAATCCCGCGCGGGATCCCGTCCCGCGCCGATCTCTAGTACAGATTAATACAGTTATACTTAAAAGAAAAAATACAATGGAAGTAATATTTAACATTTTTTATTTGGCTTGAATAAATTTTATTTCTTTTGTCAAAAAAAATGCAAAGTGCACATGATTTACTTATTCTCTTTCTAATATAAATTGAATTTTTAAATTAATCCAATTTCTAAGAAAATTCGTGTAAAAAGAATGGCGCGCAAAAGAAAGGAAATGTAAAAAAGTACTTAAAAGAAAAAAAAGTTTTGACTGAATTAGTAAAAAAATAAAAGTATAAAGGAATTTCTAGTACTTTTTTTTTACTTTAAAAAATATTTTTTCTTTGTTCACACGCATTTAAAATATTTAAAATAAAATAAATATTATGGGAAATTTGGTTATTCTACATATGTATAAACACTTAATTCGTCACAAAAAATTTTAAAAATGAAACGAAAAATTATCTCGATAATTCTTTGAAATATTAGAAAAGACAAATATTTTAAAAATTATTTTGTAAGTTTCGAATATAAATTTAAAAAGTTTGGAAGGTTTGGCTTAATCATTTAGAAAAATTTCATAAAAAATTATATATAATCGGACCTAAGTTAAATTACCCACACTTTTTACTTAAGTTGACAAAAGATGATTTAGCGATAACCCCTTTAAAATATCACTCATAATATAGTATGTAATCTATTAATTAGACCCTCATTCATTCAATTAATTACCTCGCCTCTATTATACCCCCCCCCCCTCCCCTCCCAAATGAGAGATTGAAACAATAATTCCTGTTTAATTAATAGAGCAAGCAATATCCGATAAGTACATTAATTCAGATCCAAGGATTGATCCCACGTAGGGTCGAATATATGGGTAATAAAACGTATTACACGGCTTCTGTTCTAATCCTTATTTTTCCTTCAATTTACATATTTTCTAAAAAAGTTTAAAAAGATTATTTTTTTATTTAAGTTTAGGTATTTAAATAAAAATAGAAGGAAACGGAAGTATTTTTTTATTTCAACAAAAAAGAATTTTAAATATACACGAATTAATTTTTAATTCGTGTAAAATAAAAAATTCATGAAAATACCAAAAATGTATTCATCGTTTATCTATTAAAATAAAAAAAAACCAAATATAGAGCTTAAACGGCTTTTCAGGCAATTTAAGGGGATGTAATATTTATTTGCCTAATTTAAAATGAAAAAACCAAAATTGCCTTATCTAAAATAAATGGGAAAAAAAATTTTTAGAAGGCGCTAACGAAGACACAAACACTTTTCTTTAAAATAGAAAAAAGAGACGCGCACAAAAAAATTTTTTTTAACTAACCGACCAAAGGTTATTTAGGGTATTTATTTAGCTATTTATTTTAACCTCTTCTTTTTAAAGACAATTTCCAGATAAATGCTTTTTTTAATTTAAATATTTTCTGGAAAATTAAAAAAAGGACTAAAAATAGAAAGAATGATTGTTAGTTTAGTATGACTTTAATTTTGTTAAATAAATACAAAGAATTGTTTCGAAATTAATTTTAAGAAAAAAATATTTTTTTCCAAATTTAATTCAAATAATTAAAAATATTATTTTTATTTAATGAAAAAAATTTTTATTTAAAAGAAAATTGAAAACAGGATTGATAATGGATAGGATATGGATACAGATAGGTTCAAAATGCCTGCGGATATCCGTCTGTATCCGCCATAAATATCCGGATACGGATACCAAAATCCAAGTCCATTACCAAGTCTGGTAGAAAATATGATCCAGAAAATATAAAATTAAATTTCCTTCCAACACGTCTAAAAACTTATAAAAATATTTTTAAAAAAGTTTTGACGGAACAAAATATTTATTTTTCAATTTTTTCATAAATTAACTAAAATTTACTTTAAAAAATCCCCATAAAAATAATATTTTAAAAACAAATCTTTAAAAATGTTTAGAAAAAATAAATTGCAAATTATTCCCAAAAACTTCCAAAAAAATAATTTAATATTTTCTTAAAATGGAAATATTTTTTAGCTACTACTTATTTCGGTTTGAAAAAATTTTTTAACCAAAATATCTAAATTTGTTTAAATATTTAAAAGATAATTAGGGAAAATGTTTTTAAAATTATTTTTTAAATAAGTTTATTTAAATATTTTTGCTTACCATTTAAAATTTAAAAATAATTTCTAAAATACCGTAAATGCTGAAATACTGTGCCTCTCTCGAATAATTCCCCCTCCCTTTTAATTACACCCTTCATAGAGAGGTTGAAAAAAATAATGATCCGCAAATCGACCGCAAACTTTTTGATGCTTGATCCAATACAATTGAATTTTATATCATTCGAAAGCCCTCGATAAGCTCTATCGTTTACCCAACTGTATGGATCAGGTCTAATCACTCATATAAAAGTTCTAACCCGATAATAGTAAAAACAACGATTTATTGCACTTATCGACTTGTAACTTTGTATGACCTGATTCATACAGTTGGGTAAAAGATAGAGCTTATCGAGGGCTTTCGAATGATATAAAATTCATCTGTATTGGATCAAGCATCAAAAATGATTGTTTCTTTTTTATTTTTCCTTATCTTGGTTTTTGTTTAAAAAATAATCAAAATTTGCAAAATTAACACGAGAAAATTTTTTCAATAAAATTTTATTATTTAAATTTTTAATAATTTTAAAAGAAATATTTTTTTTAATATTCAAATGACGAACTTAAAGATTATTTAGAGCAAAGTTTGGAAAAATTTTAATTTAAATAACCGGAAAGAACAGATGTTTGGAAAGGAAAAAAGGAAATAAAATTTATTTCTAATTTTTTTTATTTAAAAATAATTATTTTAAAAAATATTTTACAAAATTTTTAATTAAAAAAGGTCAGTGTAGACTTGCATATTTTAATAAATTTATTTTTTTTAATTGGAAGAATGTCTGAAAAAAATTTTTGAAGGAAGTGTTCGGAAATTATGTCTAGAGAAAATTTTTTGAATAAAAAAATTTTTTAAATTATGGAAATAAAACAATATTTAATTTAAAAAATTCTCTCACAGATTTTTAATATTTTAAAAAATTTAGAATATATGTATTAATGGTTGAAATTTACATAAAAAACAAAAAGAATTTAGTAATAAATAAAATAATTTTTAAAATTTATTTGAGTTAAATTATTTATCAAATTTTTAAATAAATTAAGGAAAATTTTCGAAAAAAAGATTCATTTACATATTTGGTATTTTAAATTAGGTAAAATAATTTTTACGTTGATTTTACAAAAAAGTTGGTAAAAACGTCTCAGGGAAATCAACAACATTAAGATTTTATTACCGCATCTATAAAGAATTAAAAATAGAGAACCTAGCAAATTTAAAGTAAATATCCTAATAAAAGCCCATCCCTAATATAAGCCCATTCGATGATAGATATTTAAAAATAGAAGCCCAGGGCTTCTATTAAGATAATTATTTAAAGAAATTTAAAGATATTATTTAAAGATAATTATAATTATTTAAAGATAATTATTTAAGATAATTATTTTACGATAATTATTTAAAATAAATTGTTTTTGCTTATTATTCAGGTTGACGTTTCTCAATTTTAATTCCTTTCCGAAAAACATTTTTTAATTTAAAGAGGATTTATTTAATGTAGGATATTATTGCAAATTAATTTGGCTATAAATATTAATTTGTTTATTTTCTAATATTTTTTTAAAATATTATTTAGCAGCTTTATGACATTTAAAATAAAAAAAAATATTTTTTTAATAATAATTTATTTATAAGAAGGAAATTGCGCAAATAAATTTAAAGTAGGGGGAGACAAAATATAAACATAAATACGAGGTCATTTAATTTAAAACACGAGGTTTAAATTAATTATTTAAAAAAAGGGAGGGAATTTTTTGTTGTCTTCAGAAAGGAAAGGCTTCATTATTTTAAAAGAATTAAATGAAAAGGTTAAAAAACAAAAAGATGAAGCTAAAAATATACTAAATGTTGTGAACATTAATGTTTGGTATTTTTAATTAATTTTGAATTTTCTGGTTTCTCTATAAAGATTGGCAGATATCGAAGCTAAACAAAATATAAAAAGTAAAAAATATTTAGATTGCCTTTTATTTTTTATAGGTCAAATTTTTGTCTAAGAAATCGGAAAAACAATAAAATTAAATTATCAAACTGTCCTATCTTGTGATTATTTATAGACTAAAAACATTTTTTTGATTAATTTATGTAAATAAAATTAATAATATTATTTGCCTATTTAGCAGGGATGGGCCGAGTCCCACAAATTAGAGACACGAGATAAAACGTGATACGAGATCCCTCCTATTTAGGTATATATTTAAAAATAAAATTTAAAATAACATCTAATTGAATTAAATCTAATAAATTATAAAAATAATACATATTAGAAATAATTTTAAAAATATCAAAACTAATATTTTAACGATTAAGAAATGCTTGCAAAAAAGCATTTCTCAACAAATGTTAAATAAATAATGTTTATGTACATATTTGTTAAAGCTAGTAAAACAAATTTTGAAATATGATATTTATAGCAGGATTAATAAAAATTAAATGTTTTTTTGCTTTTTGACAATTTGTTAATTGTAAATAAAATCCTAAAATTTTGAGTAATTGAAATTAATAAAATTTTAAAAAATAAAATTAAATGTTTTAACAAAATAAATAAACAAAAAATATCAAATTTTAGAAATTAATTTATTATTATTTTTAAGTCTTTCTCTGAGTAATCTTCTTAATATTTTGCCTGATGGACTTTTTGGAATTTTATCAATAAATTCAACTCCTCCCTTTAAATGTTTATAATAGACAGCTTTGACTAAAAATTAAATTAAATTTTCAATATTATTTATTTTAATGAGGGCTGTGAACGAGAGAATGTTAAGTGGAAGTACAAAACGTTAAATTTATGAAGTACACAGTGGAAAGATTTTTTTCTTCAAAAATAAAAAAAATAAGTACGAATTCGTACTTATATATGTATACTTCCAAAAATACAAATCACAGCCCTGATTTTAATTAATTTAGTTACTTTTAACAAATTCTTGAACATCTTTCTCTGAGAGAGAACTCCCCTCTTTTTTAACAACAAATCCAAAAGGTAATTCCCCAGACATGGGATCTGATATTCCAACAACTGCACAATCTTCAATATATGGATGTGAAAGAAGTAAATCTTCTAGTTCTGCAGGGGCTACCTTTAAATTAATTTTTTAATAAAATAACGAGTCTGTTCCCTCTCAGAAATTCTATTTTTCTGAAAATCTAAAAATATTTTTAAATAAATTCCTTATGAATTCAGCCCCAAATGTTATAATGTAGTTATTATAGTTAACGATTTGTGTTAAAGATTTGCGATTTGTATAGGTTTATTGAGGTCTCCGATTTTATTTTTTTAATCTACAAAGATGCCATTAGGGTATAAACATGTTTAATTTTAGATTGTACTAATATTGAAAGTTTTGAAACCACAGGGATTTCTTTTATTCTGAATTGAGGATAAGCTTTAAAAATATATCTGTTGAATCATTCATTCATTACCTGAAGTCCATTAACTTTTATCAATTCTTTCAATCTATCAAGTACAGTAATAAACCCTTCATTATCAACAAAAACCACATCACCTTTAATTAAAAATATTTTTTAGAAACTTTCTAAAAGTTCATTATCTACCAGTCCTTAACCATCCATCCGGATTAATTATTCTTCTTGTTTCCTCAGGCTTTCTCAAATATCCCAACATAATCGTGGGACCGCGAAGTAAAAGCTCCCCAGGCATTCCCCTCTCAACTTCTACTTCGTCATCAGAATTAATTTCTATAATCTAAGAATTTTGTAGAAATGTCCAAGTGTTAGAAACAAGAAAAACCTTCATTTCCAAATTGGAAATTAGTTTCCCAGTCGATTTATATCTTTGTTTATCTAACACAGGAAAGTGTGAAGCAACGGTCAATTCGGTCATGCCATAGCCTGTAAATCTTATAATGAAGGTCAGAAATGATTTAATGTAATCCTAAAGTCGGTATAGGGTCATTAACCCTAATCCAATCTAATCATGAAAAAGATGCCTTGACAAATATGTTGAACATTAGGAAGTCTGGACAAAACTTCCTCGCATAGATCTGCACCAGCTGGAGCTGCACCCGAAAAGATAACATTTACCGAAGAGAGATCAAAATTTGAAACAATTTGATTTTTGGCCAAAAATACAAGAATTGGGGGTACAGTTTTTATAAGACGAATCTGGCAATAATTTTTATTTGAGTGATTTTAATTAAAAATTTATTTAATTGATAAGACTAGAAAATAGGATAACTACATATTTCTAAGGTTGCCCCACCTTCGGGTATTCTTCCACCTGTTAATTAATTTTCTGACTATCTTATCTCAAATATTTTCATTAAAGACTAATTAATTTATATACACCTTAAAATTCTGTATAGTCTCACAGAACAGTTTTGGCTCAAAACCAGCCATAACCAATCCAGTCGACCCATTTAAAAGACAAGCCTGTAACATACAAAAGCCATAACAATGGAAGAAAGGGAGAAGAAGAAGTTCATTTTCCTCCTTTTCTATAAATGTTGGCCGCATATAAGCGTGAATTTGATTTCGGAAATGGTCAATTAAAATATTCAACATTGTGCCTATATTTCTGTGGGTGATAATTACACCTTTTGGAGATCCAGTTGTGCCACTGAAAATATTTTCGAAAATTTAAGAGAAATTTAATTAAATGCCTATTAACAATAGGTATACCGTATTTCCTATGATAGTACCCCCGGGAGTACTATTTTTCAACCCTCCTCCAAGGGAGTTTATTATTTGAGTGGGGAGTACAAATCCAGGAGGAGTACTCTTTCAGGAAATACGGTAATTTAAAAAAGTATCCTTTGATCATCAAGGGGTGTATTTTTATTTTCACGTATTTTTAAACTCACGATGAAAATGGCAACAATATAATGTCTTTATCAGGTCGACAATTTACTAATGAAAATTCAATTGCAATTGTTGGTTCCGTTCTAAGTACTTGGCCAAAACGTATAACTCCAAAAGGAAGCTGATTTTCATTTTGATTTAAAGGCTTTTTGGAATGACCAGATTCGACAAGAACTATTGTCTTTAAAAGCAGTATTATTTAAATAAAAAAGGAAATTACACCTTCACAGTTTGAGAACCTTTAGCAGCCTTAATAACATTATCAAGGCATGTTTCAGAGCAAAAGACAATTTTAGCTTGAGATTCGTTGAATTGATATTGAAGTTCTCCTAAATATTTAATTGAAAAACATTATGAGAGAATATTTTCCTATATTTTACATACCGTATAACCTGTATTAATTGCCCTCCCTCAAATGATTACCCCACTTCCATTAATTATCCCATCCAGCGATAAATTGAAACAATAATTACCCACAAACAAATGCCCTAAAACACTTTCAAATTTTAAACCTTTTACAATTACCCTCCCTCGATTAATTACTCGCTCCAGCGGTAGATCGAAACATTAATTACTCAGGGTAGTTATTAAAGGATATACGGTAACTAAGGTTTTTGGGCGTTCCTGGAGCCTGGCTTCGGAGCCATACTCAGCACTAATGTTTGGAACCGATGACTTTTCAGTTCGGTTCTGGATACCCTAAGATGTCCAAAAACCTACAACTCTACTTTTTATATTTCAAATTTATTTTCTACATAATTTAAAATCCCTGCCAACTTTGAGTAAAATAAGGATTAGCTCCACTAGTTGCGCCTCCCTGAAGACCAATACCCGCAAATATGGGTACATACTCCCAACAATTCTGCATAACTAAACAAGCAACATCACCAAACAAAAATCCTCTATTTTGTAAAAAAGCAGCAGTGGCGATGGAAAATACATAAAGTTCTCCAAATGTTACAAAATCAGTGTTTGGCTCTTTGGAGTTGATCTAATTTTAATTAAAATTTTAAATTTAACCAACAAATCATAATAAAAGTACTTAAAGTAAAAATTTAATAAATTTTTAATAAGAACCAATGCAATCCTTTCAGGACATTCAGAAAAATGCTCCCAAAGTGCAGAAAGCAATCGAGGTGGATAAGGCTCATTGGCTATTTCAACTGGAGGAAAATCAGATTTGTAGGGCATTTATGACAATAATTTTTATGAATATTTTTGAGAAATTAGATTAAATTTAAAAATTGAAACAAGAAAGAGGAATATTGAAGTTTATTTAATAAAATCAACAAAAATTATATTAATCATTTCACGCGCTCAAACGTTAATAATTTAATATTTAATACTACACATATTGATCTCATGCGTGATCAAAAAATGATCCAACCTTCTTTTTAAGAAATATTTTTAGATTATTTTTTTGATAAAAACCTAGTTGCGATATTTTAAATAAATGTCACAAAAATCGTTATCAGAATACATAGTTAATAACCTATTTATACTTAATTCCTTCCTCCCTTAAACCCAAAAGAAGATAATCAAAAGATTTAATTGATAAAAAAACAGAAAAAGACAAACACAATATTTAATAAAATAAATATAATATTTAGAGATCAATTAAACAGAAAAGACAATCAAAATATTGTGAAAAATATGTAAAAAGATCAGCAAAAATTCACAAAAGGAGACATTGTCACTTGGCCTAAAAATTAAAACAAATATTAAATTTTGTTTTTTTTTATCCAAAAATTAATTAAACACAAACAAATAATCAAAAAACAGAACTCAGTCTTTTTCGTTTATTTGCAATGTTATTTGTTTGGTCATCAGCATCTAAGTCTGTATGGCCTTTGCTACTACGCCTTTTTTCTTTTGCATCAGAAACGTGTAAATAAATCTAAAATATTTATATTTTATTAAAATATTTCTAAAAAAATATTTTTTTGTTAAATAAAGGGTTCTTGTAAGGCATAGCAGAGAGGGGGCTTCTGGGGCTAAAGCCCCCCCCCCCCCCATGAAACGGGGAAAATAAAAAATTTTAGGAGGGAAATTATCAGAAAAGTAAATTTTTTACGCCTACAACTCCAAAAATTTTCGCCTGGTGCGGTGAAAATGTAAGAAAGTTGGCTTCTTGGACTTCCAAAATCAAAAAATTTACGCCTGCGGCGCTGAAAAAATAAAAATGTATTAAAAATTTTGGCACAAACCCCATTTTAGCCCCCTGAAATCGACCCCTGTCTACGCCCTTGAGTTCTTGGTAGCTAGACCCATGAGACCGTCAATATATCCAAAGTTTCGTGCCCTAGTTTAAAAATTTTCCAACTTACTCGTTCATTTGGAGGTACATTCTCCTGTTGCTTGTATTTATTAAGTAAATTAGATCCTTTCTTTCCCAAAGCAGCATATCCAATAACAGTCATATGTCTAGTGCTGGTCAATCTCAAATACAAATAGTCATCAATTACAAGCTTTTGCATGAAACGTTGACAATCGGTATCAGTGAGACCACTTCCAAGACCGAAAAAAGGCAAACGTCCGTGACTATTATCATCCATCTAAAATAATTTAAATAATTTTTTAAAATTAATTTAAAAAAACAACCGTTTGTTTAACACGTTTTTTAGTTAAACATCCCCGGAAGATATCAGCCATATAGCTTATACAAGTATTACGAAGCATTCTCATCGAGGCGAAGACAGCGAGCGCTTCACCAGTAAAATCGTAAAGTTTTAAAGGTTGTTTTCCATCCATTAAAGCTTCACAAATTGTACAGGGACCAGCGGTTGCAATACATTGCTCGGCACTGTATTTCTAAAAAAAATATTTAAACATAAATTTTGAAAAAAATTATACATAAAAATAATGCCCCAACGCGAAAGTAATTTTTTTTTACCTTCAAAAAAATAACAGAAATTACCCATTTTTAACATTACTCAACTCCAACTAACATAAAATATTCATAAAATTACAAATGATAACGATTTTTGACCCAGGCTGGGCGCAATTGGAAAAAAATTTCCACAGCCGCAATTTCAGACAATCCGTAATTGCGCCAGACCGTTTTGACTATGTTTAAAAGCCATAATTATGAAAAAAGAAACTCGGCGTGACAAAATAAACATTCCTTTCTCCAAAAAATAAAAGTAAAAAAAATTAACCTCGTCAAAAGCCGCAGCCAACTTCTTTCGTCTACATTCAGCCACATTCTCACAATAACGAAGAACATTCTTTAAAGAACCTTCCTTCATAGCCATAACATTTGGCGGAGGTTTTGGAACATCTTCTTTAATTAGACGAAGTACACGTAAATGATCATTAAAGCTATAAAGAAGAGTACAATGGGAAAGTTGGCCGTCTGTTCCAGCTAAAGCACATTGCCTCTCGTATTGCTCCAAAGATTGTGGTAATGTATGGTGAATAACGAAACGGACATTTGGTTTGTTGACTGTCTTGCCAAAAGCTAAACAAAAAAATTTTTGGAATTGCAAAAATCTCCGGGCTATCCGGGTATTGTTTAAGACCCAAAAAAGTAGCATTTTTTGTTAGATCAAATAAGGTTAAGGTTGCAAAAAATTAAGAAAAATTTTTTTGGTCTACTGCCTTCGAAATTTAAAAAAGTTTTGTTTGCGGCGCTAAAAATCAAAATTTTCCTTCTTGCCCCCCCCCCCCCCCTCCGAAAAAAAATCAGGTTGCGGGCCTGATATAGATAGGCATCGGAAAACACATGGAATTTTTCTTATAAATCTAGCAGATCAATTTCTAAACTTTGAAAGGAATTCCCAAAAAAACACTAATTTTTTATTTGCACATTGACCACAAGTATAAACCCGTTTCATTAACTTTTTTTGGTTGTTTGTAAATTAATAAAAAATTAGAAAACCTATAGTCGCACAAAGAATTTTAACTTCATTCTTTTCCCAACGTCGTTGTGTTTCATTACGAACTGAATCAGGCAAATCCATGTGATAGGGGAGAGCACCTCCAACCATATCTGTAACTGTGTCACATTCTTTTCTTAAAAATTTTTAAAAAATATAAAAATAAATCATCTAAAAAAACTTTGACATGCAGAAGATTATGCCAGATCCATTTGGATAAATTCCTTGAAAATGCGAAATAATTCTGCGAAATTGCAACGAGGATTTTGGCAATACATCAAAAACAACGTTTGGACGAATAAAAGAAAGCCTGAAAATTTTTATAAAATTTTTGGAAAGGCTCAAAAATTAATGGAAAATTAAAAACTTTTAGGTCTCTAAAAGGTAATTGTCACACCCCTTTTATTATCAGTAGTCCCTTTGGTTATCAGTAGCCCACGACTTGAGCCCAACGCCGACCCGTTAATCGGGATTTTCATAATAATTTTGTACCAAAATTCTTTTCCTAAAAAGAGGTCGGTAGAAGGGAGATTCATAAATTTTATTTACTTATATTACTCACCAAAATCCAGATTTGTTGCCTTGCTCGCTGAGAACAACTAAAATAAAAGTATTAATTTTCAGAAAAATTTATTAAAAATAAATACATTGATCCATAGCTTCATGTTCAATTTCGCTCTTCGGTTCTACCAATTTTGAAACCTCCGAGGTAGACGGCGCAAGTGATGAGACAGAAAATGAAGATTTAGCTTCAATAGGAGGTGGAGATAGAGGAACAATATAAGGTGGAATTGGAGGCCTTTTAAAAGGTATAGAAGGCGGAGATGAAGGAGTAATAAAAGCTTTTGAAGGTATTTTTGCCGTTGGAGGTGGAGATGAAGAAATTGTATAAATTGGAGGTTTCATTGAAGTTTGAGGTTGAGCAGTAGGACGAGGGGGAGGTACAAAATTGACAGTTCGAAAGGTTGAAGAGTTGTCGTTGATTTTTGTTCGTGTACTGTTTGGGGTTGTGTAGAGATTTTTTGTGTTGTTGATAGTTGCCTTGTTGTTGTTATTGAAATTTTGATGGAAATTGGTGTTTTGATTTTGTGTTGAGGTAGAAATATTGAAGTCAAAATTGGTATCAAAAGAATTACAACCATCGTGATGAGATTGGCAACAGTGGAAGGCAGGAAATTTAACTTTAAAATCCGGCTCAACAAATGTGTACTGACCAATTACATGTTTTTTAGGAAAAGGAGGATAAAATTTATCAGCCATTGTTTTAATTGAAGTTCAGACGAAAATTAAATTAAAAAATTATTTATCTTGAAAAATATTTATATTAAAAAACTTACGTAATAGTTCGGTTTATTCCATCCCTTTCTACTGAATCCATGACCATTTTGCAACTTTTGACAAACTTTTGTGACGCTGTAAGCGGTCAAAACAAAACATTTACTTATATTGATTTAAGTCAGAGTTCATTGATTTTGGTGCCATTCTTACTCAGCTCGAAAAGCTCTTTCAAATGATATCAAGCAAACAAGAGCAAAATGGTCAGGGAGACAGTAAAAAGGGGTGGAATAACACGAACTATTACCAAACCTTTCAAAAAAATTTTTACAAAATAAATATAGATTTTTTAAACAAAATTCAACGAAAATGCAAGTTTAAGAATTGACCAAACAAAGAAAAATGAAGAAAATTAAAAATTTTGAAAAAATCATATTGCCAAATTTATATTCGCAGGGACGCCCAAGTAGGCGCGCGCCATAACAACGCAAAACGTTAACTAGTTGAACGATTTCTGACCCAAATCAATTTTGATAACGTTCTCTGCAGCTCGATGAGAGGAATCGTTTAATACTAAATTTGTAAAGATCGAGAAATTTAGAAGCAAGTTATGGCTTTGCGCCGTTATTGCCGCGCGTCTATTTGGGCTGTACCCATTTTGAGTCTAGCAATTTGAGTCCTACTTTTTCTGTCTGAAGTAGAGTTCGGTAAATCGTGTTTGTGGGGTCCCGTAGGCGGGGTTTTTTTCTAAAAATTTTTGCGGGACGGGATCCCGCGGGATAAATCCCACATCCCGCAAAATCCTGCAATTCAAAAAAATGTGGGATTGCGGAACGGGATCTCACAAAATCCTGCGCGGTATCCCGTCCCGCACACACGACCTCCAGTCTAAAATATAAAATTTCTTTTATTTTTTTTTTAGAAATTTTTAATAATTCAACATGATAGATCAAGAAAAATTACAGGAGATTTTACTTTCTAAAGGTTTGATTAAGATACCAATTTTTGTTATTTTATTTTTATTTCAGATCAACAAAAAATAGCCGATTTTTTATTAAAATTGAGAGATCAACGACGTTTAGATGAATTATTCCAAGCAATTCTTGAACTTCTTCAAAAATCTTCTGTCTCCGAATTTTCAATTTCTCAATTAATTTTAAATGAATTTGTTGTGTATTTTCGTGAACTGAGCCCCCTAGTTTCATTTGAATATTCCAAACTTTTATTGAATGTAATAAATTCTTTGGGAAATGGGAAAAAAATGTTGAAAAGGTTTAAATTTAAATTTTATTTTCTAAATTTTCTTTCAGAAGTCTTGTTGTTATTCTTCGTTTATTGATTGAAAATATACCACTTTTGAGTGCTAGACAGACACGAGATTTAATTAAAAGTGATCAAATGATTGAAATATGCTCACAATTTTGGAATTCAGGTAATTTTGTTTATTTGGGAATATTGAACCGGATAGACTCATCTTTTTCCTCCCCAATTTTTCCCTATATTTTTGCAAATTGGTCAGCCTTCTTGATCAGCACCAATCCTATATCCTCTCAAGCGTTCCAAAACAGCATTCAGATCTTCACTAACACGATTGGAATTCCCCTAATTTTTAAACAAAATTTACCAACATTAAAAATGTTATCCCTACCCTTTTTTTGGACTATTTTAAGGACTCATTTAAGTAATTTTAAACCGGACAGACCTTTTCCTCACCAGTTTTCCCCCTATATTTTTGCAAAATTGGTCAGAATATTTCCTCTCTTTCATCCAAATTGCCTTTCTATTTTTACCTACAATCAAATAAAAAGGATTATTTAATTTTATACAAGTGAAAGTACGTGCCAAAAAACAAGTAAAAGGTGGGTTATTTTTTGGTATTTTTTTGGTATTTAACAAGTACCTATGAGTTTTGAGAAGGGAGAAAGTAAGGAAAAAGTCTGACCATTTTGCAAAAATATAAGGGAAAATGGGGGAGAAAAAAGGGGGTTTGTCCTGTTCAATATTTTTTTTATTTTTCAAAAAAAAATTATTTTTTAGAAGAACATGACATTGCTGCAAACCTTACTTTTTGTTTATTTCAAATAATTATTTTTGAATTAAATTATTTTCTTAGTGTCAGCACAGAAAAAACTCAAAAACAATTAATTAAAGAATTAACTTTTATTTGGACAAAATTAATTGAAAAAATAAATATTCAGGTTTAAAATTATTTTTTTTCTTTTTTAAAAAATTTTTTCAGAATTTTGAACTTTGCCCATTTCTTCAGATTTGTACTGTTATTTTATTAAATATTACATCTACTTTAGAGAAAGCAGAAACGATTAATAATATTTGTAGAATTATATTTAGACGAATTCGGAAAAATTGTTTGTTTGAAAAATGTACGGAAATTATGGAGAAGGATGTTTGTGTGAATAATGGAAATAATGAGAAATTAAATATTGATGAGAATCAAAATAATATTTTATGCAGTTATAATTCTGTGGTAATTTATTTTTTTATTATTTAGATGCCTAACATTTTGGAGTGAGAGGCAAAACACGGTCTAGAGAATACTTTTAAAAATCAGAATTTTTCAGAATTATTTTTTAAATGCTGATTTTTATAAAAATTATGATTTAAAAAAATATTCTGATTTTTTAAAAAATACGATTTTAAAGGTATTCCGTGTTTTGGTCATTCCATATTCTGTCCATTCCTGTTATGGGAAGACTGAAGTGAGTTTTGTCTGTTACGTGTTTTGGTGTATAGTCTGTATTTTGGTCGTTCCATGTCTTGTCTGACCGTGTTTTGTCCGACACGTCATTTTGTTTAAATTTTTTATAAATATTTTCCCAATCGGTGGGGGATATTTGGTGAAATTTTCTCATTTAATATTTTCTCGAAATCTCTGGATATTTTTTCTTTCCTGAACATTTCAATTAAAAAAAAAATCATTTTCAATTTTTTGCAGTTATTTGATTTGCTTTTCCGCAATCTAGCTTCTTTTTGGTCTATTTGCCCCAGCAAATTGCACATTCCTGTTATGCAATTTCTAGTCACATTTTCTCAAAAGTATTTTTTTATTTAAATTTTTTAATTTATTTTTAACAAATTTAGCAAAAACTCCCTCAAATATTTCCTTTTTTGTCTCGCAAAAAATCCGTCTATTCGGTTTGGAGAATTTCGGCAATCTATAGAAACATCTCTAATTAATGTTCTGCCTTCACATTTTACAAAAAATGGAATTTTAAATTGGTCTAAATTAGCTAAGGAACGCTTAAAAAGAAGAAAAACACCAAAATGTATTTTGATTATTTTTTTCTAATTTGTAATTTAATTATAAGGCAAAGGGTATTTTGGAAAGGGGTAGGTTATGGGACAACGGCGTAGCCGGGGAGGGGGCTTCTGGGACTATAGCTCCCATGAAATGGGGAAAATGAAAAAATTCTAGAGGAAAATGATCAGAAAAGTGAATTTTTTACGCTTATAAGCCACAAAATTTTATCCCCCCTGAAATCGACCTCCTGGCTACGCCCTTGTTATGGGAGCTAAAATGAACTTGTTTTACGGAACCTGATAAAAAGTAAATGCTTTGGGTTAGATAATTTTTCAAATAATTTTTTTTTACTTTTTAGGCGACTTCCATAATGATTGGAATTCATTATTAGAAATCTTTGAGAAAATTGATGATGAGATTGAAGTTGATACTAATGAAATTTTGCTTCGCAATTTATCCAAAAAGACGGTTTTTTTAATTTTTAAACTCCAATTTGACATAAATAAATTTAGATTACACAAATTATTTCTTCCGTTCCTTTCAAACAATTGGCCAATTCTCCCCCAAAAACAATTCGTGCTTCTTTAAAACTTTTATATTTACTTGCTTCTCAACAACACAAAGTTGAATTACCTTTTACAATTGAATTAATTAATTTAATGGAGGCAGAGCCTGAACCAAAAATTTATTCTATAAAAATTGTGGAAAGAATATTGAAGGTTTGGATTTATTGTAGAATTTTTACATGAATATTAGAGTTAATGGAATTAATTTTTGGGAGATTATTTTTTAGCTAAAACGAATTTTTACTCGAAAAACCCTTAAAGGAGATTTATTTTAACCATTTTGTAAAGCGATGAAATTTTATTTGTTTTTTTTCGGTGAAAAAAAAAGTAAATTATTTACTTTATCCACCTTTTCCCTTCCAATTTACCACTCGTTATTTTAACAGAAAAATTGATTTTTATTTTAATATTTTACCATCTATTTAACATTAGAAGAAATTTTCAAAATTTTATCTTAAAAATTATTTATTTTGTGATTTTTATTTCGAAAATTTTTTTAAATTCAGTTTCACACTCGTCAACCAGAAATGTTAGCAGATTTACGGGATTTGAGTGCTCTCTGCTTTGCTATGTTTCGTCCTTTAGACCAGCCATGGGCCGATCACATTAATGAACCAATTAAAAGGAAATATTTATTGGCTGAATTGAGCTTTTTAAGAACTTTTTTGGTCTCTGTGCCTATTTTATTGAATTCATTTTCCCCAGTGATTACACAATTGTTGCCAGAGTTCTTTATTCAGGTGATTTAATCTATTTAAATTTTAATGGATATGTCTCATTGTTTCCAGGTAAACAAGGAGAAACAATGGTTCGAAATTTCTGTTTCCTAATTTTCCCGGTTGGTTTGATCTAGATACACCTCGTTTCAGTCTGGACTCAGTTCAGTCGCGCTCTGTAACTTTTAAAGGTGCTGATAATTTTTAATGTTCTTGGTACCATTTGATAGAGCATTAAATAAGCTATAATATACCAGAAAATCAAAATTATTGACTAACTGGTAAAAAAAGTTATCTTCGAAAAAGTGCCAAAAAATCACGTTTTTTTTGAAAAAGTTGGTTTTTATAGCTAACTTTTTTATCAATTGTTCAAAAATTCTGATTTTTTGATATTTTTTAGAGCTTTCGATTCTCTATCCAATGGTACAAGAACATGAAAAAGTGACCATTCTTTGATGAGTTATAGGGTCCAGACTGAACTGAGGTGCTACGCTTTGATCCATTTATGGGGTAATGAGACCTTTATTTCCCCTTTCAAACCTTAACCTCCCAAATTCAATTTTTAATAATTTAAGAGCAGCAATTATCGTCGCAAACAAGCACTAAATAGCAACGAAATATCCTCTCCACGTGACATTAACTATTTAGCTGAAAACTTATTTCCTGACAGATTAGAACATTCATTAAGTTGTGTTTGTCGGGAATTAGTCAAAAATAAAGAAAAATTTCATCGTTTACTTTCATTTGTTGTTGCATCCTCTCTGGTAGATGAGAGAAGAATACGTTATCCAACTTATCTTATAATGACAGCATTGGATGAAAAAGACATTGCTTTGTTAAGCACAAATATGCCGACTTGGGAAAAACGAAAATTTTCAACTTTACATTCACAATTTTTTGAATGTAATAAAATTATTGGATAAAATTTGTTTTTATTAAAATTATTGTAAAGCATATAGCTATTTGATTCCTAAGGTAGGCGGCGCGGTGTAATGGCTAACACGTCAATCCGGTCTACTGAAGATGCTGGTTCACTCCCAGCCGCCGAATAACCTTTTGCACTAGCTAAAGGAGAGAAATAGCTATAGCCCAGCTCTGCTTTACTTTATGTACTTGACATAAATTTATTCAAAACAAAAAAAGAACAAATTAAACAACAGAACAAATACTATATATTATTATTTCCTATCAATTTATCTCATAATAGTCCCTCCCTCCATTTCTTTTTAGACTGGCGGGTATGGCGCTTGAACATATTGTGGTGGATTTTGAACGCTAAAAATTATTTTTTAATTCATTGAAATGTCAATTTTCATTTTACCTTTGCTCATTCCCCGTCCATTGATATTGAGCTGCAACAACTGGATAGACTAAAAATAATTATTAAAATTTTAATGAGAATATTCTCTATTAAATTTAAAAACTAACCAATGTATGGCTGAACATAAGCATATTGCTGACGCTGAAGTTCCTGATACTGACGTTCCCGTTGCTTTCGAAGATTGTATTGCATAAATTGCATACGTCGAATGCGTTCGAATTCAGCCCTCTCATTTTGATAGTTCATTACTTGGTAGATAACACAACAGAAGCTGACGATGATCGACACAATGAAGAGCATCATAATTATGGCAGCATTGGCATTAGCTTCTCGGACGTCTCGGTCTTGATCGTAGTGATGTTCGTAATCTGATTCGTAAACCATATTTTTGCTGAATACAGATAGTTTTACATAGAAAACTGCGCTGCTTTTATACTAATTCCAACTTGCAAATATATGTGATTTTAATTTCCTATGCTTATTTATTGCCAACGTAATTGAAAATAATTTTAAAATCTTTGAATCGAAAGTCGGAAGAAAAATAACCTAAATTTTCGGAAATCGGAAGGAAAAACGGAAAAACGCGGCCATTGCATGTTCTAACCCCTAATATTTTTCTATCCTTTCAAATCCACCTATCGCTTCCAGCCGCCTAAATAACCTTTTACATTATTAACTGAAGGAGAAATAGCTTACCGTATATACTGTATTTATTACCCTCCCTCAAATAATTACCCCACCTGCTTTTATTACCCCCTCCAGCGAGAGATCGAAACAATAATTGCCCAGGGTAATTAATACAGTTTTTACGGTATTTTATTTTAAATACTATTTATTAAAAATTATTATTATTTTCTATTTAACACATAAATTAATCCTATCATTATCATCCATATTATCCTAATTATCATCATCACCACATTCAACATTTTGGGCATTTGGTGGAGGAAGTACAGGCATTGGATGTATATTATTGTTGTTATTCTTTAAATTTTGTTAAAATAATTTTTAAAATAATATCTTAAAAAATATACATTTTTTGCCAAACTTCCAGAAATTACGAGAAGAAAAGCAAAAAGAATAAAGAAAATATTAACGTTCATTTTTAGTTGTTAATTTAAATTAATTTTGGGTATTTTAAATAAATTTGGGAATTAAGTTAAAAATATTTAATTTCAAATAATTTATATATACATCGATTTTTCAGACTGTTTTTTTAAATTTAATAAATAATTAAAAATAAGGATTTTAAGTAACAGGTGAGTTAAGTGCAAATTAAAATATTTGGAAAAATATTTTTAAATATTTTTTTGTTTTTATTTAATTTTAAAAAATATTTAAATTTTCTAGACAATATTATTGAAAATTATATTTTTACATTTTAATTAAATTTCACTAAATTAATAAAACTTTTTATTAAATATTTTTGTTAAAAATATTTATTGTTTTATAGATATTTTTAAAAGTACATTTAAGTAAAGTACATAATAAAATGCGTAGGTTTTCTCCATGAAATTTGAAAATATTAAAAAAAAATATTATTTTAATTTGTTTAAACATCTGTTAATTAATTGGCTTTATAAAGAATTAAATTTTAGTTAATAATTAACACAAACTTAAATTCCTCTTAAATTAATTAATCTAAAAAAAATGAATTGTAAATTTTTCTTAATTTTATTTTCAATTCTTTTAATAATTGCTGGAAGTTTGGCAAAGGTTTTCTTTTAATTTAAAATTAAAAATCCTTTTAATTAATTTAAAGAATAACGACCACCATAAACATCCAAAACACCCAACACACCCTCCACACCCTTCAAAACGTCCACATCCAACACGTAAACATCGTCCAACATTTAAACCTTTTCCATCACCTAAACCAAAGGCTCAAAATGTTGAATGTGGGGATGATGATGAATAAATGAGTTTGAAAAATTAAATTAAAAAAAATAATTTTTTAAGTAGATTAGTTTGTTAAATTAAATAATGATAAAAAGTCATAAAAACAATTGCTTTTACATATGTAACTAAGGTTATAAAAGTGAATGGGCAAGTTTGTATATGTATGCTAGTGCATTAATTTAAGGATAATACACTAAATCTATGCAACAGAGTATAGTGTCGTTTCAGAGATCTCGTACCGAGATCTTGTCCATACTAATTAGATTAAATGGATTGTTGAAAGCTTAGTTATATGATGTATATAAAAATAAAAATTAAGTATTTATATGGATTTTATTTGGAATAAAAAGACTAGGAAAAAAATGGATTTAAAAAATGAAAAATAATTTTCATTTAATTAATAAAAACTTCGGTAATGCCATAACTAGCTGAAGATTTTCTAGCCCATATCATTTTTAGCCAAATCTCTTTAGATTGATGAGGGGAAATGTTTAATACTACATAAATTTGTTAATATTCGGAAATCTTGAAACAAGTTAGGGCTTTGCGTTGTTATAGCCGCGCGTTTTTTTGGGTGTGTCCCGAAAAATATTTATAAATAAATAACCATATTTTAAAATAATTTTTTTATTTAACTTTTAACAAATTTCAAAAAATTATTTAAAAAATTATTATAAATAAAAAAATATTTTTAATAATAAATATGTATATACACAAAATGGCAAGAAGAATTCATTTAGTTTTGATTGTGGTGAAATTAAACAAAAATGAAAATAATAAATTGCACTGTAAAAGGCTTGAAAATATTAAAAATAATTTTGATTTTAACTAAATAAGGGTAGAATGACTTTAAAAAATTAAAAAAATATTTTTTTAATAGGTCTTGAAAAAGGAAATAAAAAATGTTTTCAAAGATTTTTTTCAATTTGGCAGAATATTGAGAGGAATATCTTCCTTCGTTGAAAAAACATGAAAATCGGAAAAAGCATTTTTGGAGTTTGAATGGTTACAACTTTTTGTCAATATTTCTAAAATTAATTTTAAATAAAAGGAAGATATTTAAAAATGAGGGAATTGAAGCGTTGCTACAAATAATAATTTTGTATAAATATTAGCACCAAAAAAAGATCGAAAAAGTATTTTAGAGGTAAATAAAAGTAAAGAAATATATAAATATAAATGAGGTAAAATAAAATACCGTATATACTGTATTAATTGCCCTCTCTCAAATAATTACCCCTTCAGCCAGGGCCCGTAGTATAACAGAGGTGGGTCGGAATTCCGATTTCCGACGTTTTTTCTTTCCGATTTCCGACTTTTGAGCCAGTTCCGATTTCCGACATCTCTGACTGTTCCGACCCACCTCTGTAGTATAAAAAGTGGTTGGTAACCATCGTAGAGGGAGTGCCGAGTTGATCACCTAGTTGGTCACCTAACCAGCAACCACGTTCTTATACTACCGGCCCAGGGGTTGAAACACTCAGAGTAATTAATAAGTATACACGGTAACAAGAAAAACTTTTTTTATTTTTCTGTTTCATCTTTAGTTATTTCTATCAAATTAATTTCTTTTTCTTCATTTATTTTTTCAATTTCATTTTCAATTAATTCACTAGAATTTTTAATTAATCCATTTTTGTTCATAAAAGGTTTACAATAAGCTATAAAAATTAAATTAAAAAAAAAATTTATTTTTAAAAAATTAATAACCATATCGATGGTTCATATGTTGCGAATAAGAACCAGAATGAGAAAAACGTTTCATACATTTATTACACTTAAAAAAGAAAAATTTATTTTTTTTTTAATTTTGTACTTGAAAAGGTTTTTCTCCACTGTGTAAGCGATTATGTTCGGTAAGATGATGTTTATGTTTAAAAGCTTTTTCACAATGTTCACATTTATGAGGTCTTTGGCCTTTAAAAATAAATTTAGATTTTTTTTTAGATTTTTTACTTGTTTTTACTTTTTAATTAAAGGGAAAAAATTTTTTGTAGAAACTTGAGGGACTTGGTCATGAAACCAATAATTGTCTTAGGGGGTTTTCGATCTTGATCGAGAGTCCAAGTCAATTGGCTTTTTGGAGGATTTTAGACAATATACCAGTAGGTTGGATAAGATTAAAAAAATTTAGCCTGCGGTGTTGAAAAATGGAATTTAAGGCGCGACAAGTTATAAAAATCCCCGTATTTATTTTTTCGATTTTTATCGTTCTATTATTATTAAATACTTAAAACTAACCCGAATGTTCATATTTATGTCTTGCTAAAGAGCTTTGTTTATTAAAAGTTTTGTCACAAATATCACAAATATAAAGTCCAGTAATTTCATCCCTTTGACTATTTTGATGTTCATTTTGATTTAAACGGCGTATTTTTGCAGGTGAGGGGCCAAAAATATTTTTATTAAAATTTCCATTTTTTGTTGTTTGAGAAATTTCTTCAGAAGAATTTTCATTTTTATTATTGTCAAAATGTTCGGGAATCTGTTGATAAGATTTTTCCTCTTTATCTTCTGGGTGATTTGGAGATGAAGGTTCAGAGAAATGTTGATTTGGATACTAACAAAATATTTTTAGAAATTTACATTTTAATTAGATTTTGAGAAGGCAGTAAGGTCCACAGAAGTGAGGGTGCAAGTCTGTTTGGTTTGAATTCTCGTTTTTCAAATCGGATTGGTTCCGCATATCCGAAGATTTTCCAAGGACCGACAACTCTTCTCAATAGCTTTGAAGGTTGGATAGTGCTAACATGGAAAGGTTGCGAGGTGTCCGACCTAAAACGGTCGAGAGGGCACATTCTCTATCGAATGAGCCCGGTCTCGACCGTTTTAGGTCGGACACCTCGTAACCTTTCCTTGTAAGGATTATGAACAGAAAGAAAGAATAGTGAAAAATTCTAATCACGGCCCAGTCCTAAATTGATTGAGATAATGGAACGAGAATAGAAACAACTCCTTTATCTAACTAGAACTCTCTGATAATATTTAGTAGTTTGTATCCTCCATCTACATATATCAGATATTTTATCAATTATGTCTAATACCTCTAATACTCTTTGCCATTCATTTAAAATATTTTTCTGTCCATTTCCAATTATTGAAAGTAAAGTAGATGAAATAGTTGGGGTTGTTTTTCCATTATTTGTGGGCCAAATAGAGGAAGATGATTTTATTGAACAATTATCATTCCCAATAAAATGATTATTTATTATAGGGGAGGAGGATGCAGATCCACTACAACATTGAGAAAAGGAAGAGGAGGAAGGTGAAATATTAGACAAATCACTTCTTGTGGTTGAAAAATAATTTGGTGAAAATGAAGTTGGGGAATAAATATTATTTTCTTTTGGCTCCTTTTTAATTTTGATTTCATTTTGAATACCTGAAAATAAAAAATTAAAGATTAAAAATAATTAATTTTAAATTTCTTTAAAATTTGCCACTGGCTAAAAACTTTTTTAGACATAAACGCGGGTCATAAAAAA